GTTCCAGTGATGGAACAGGAAGAAAAATAGGTAGTTCTGAATCATCCTCATCTTGTTTGGTTTTCTTTGAGGCTAAAATTTGACTATCTTCTCATCTCTTTCCTTCTAGGAGAACAGATGTGGAGCGGATGCTGTTATGCTGAATATTTAATCTAGGGAAACCAGGTATGTGGGCAGGGTATGCTTTTCCATTGTCAAAATCAAGTGGGACATGAAGCACAATCTCATCAGGGATACTATACAACTCTCATGGCCCCCAACAGAGCTTCCAAATTTCAATATTGGATTGTATCTTAGAGATAGTCTAGGTCATTCTACTGATGATCAGACAAAAATTCAGAAAGGATAAATACTTTTCCAAGGTTATACAGTTGGTAAGAGACAGAACCAGGACTGCAAAGAGGCTTTTTTGGGGGGCAGGGGAATCACCTTGGAGTGTTCTTTCATTATGAAGATGGCAATAGATACCAGGTCTGATATGCAAATGAATATCTATGTCAAAATTAAAAGAATTTCAGGAAAATCTTTAATGCTGTTTACAACAATTTAAAAGAGAGGGTAGTGTGTTGACTATCTTCAAAGAAAGTCACAAATTCCTAGGCAGGAGAAACCTATGGATGCACTTAGGAAAACAAATGCTTCCCTTTGCTCTTCAGGGAATTAACTGATATCCTCCCCAAGAAACTATGTACTAGCCTGTAAAGAGACTTAAAAAATATTAAGGGGAAAAGTTTTCATATTTTAAGCTGCCACTCATATGTCCAAACAAACATCTGCCATATAATCTGCATGTCTGTATGTATGTGTGTGTGTGTGTGTGTGTGTGTGTGTGTGTGTGTGCTTTTTATATGTCTCTTTGTATGTTTGTGTATGTGTATATCGTGCATACACGTGTTTGTATTTATATGTATGCCTTTGTGTGTTCACATGTGTTTGCACACATGCATGCATGTCTGTGTGTATCTTTGGGTACCCATATGTTTTACATGTGTTTGTGTGTACATATGTGTGTACTCAGGTCCCAGGCACAGCAAGCGAATGTAACCTCGCTAGAGAGAATCTTGGGCTGATTTGTACCCTGGCACTTCCCCATACCAACTCTGCTTCTTGAGTGAGTTACATTGTTTTTCTGAATCTCAGTATTTTTATCTATAAAATGGCATGTGTAATACTCACCATGAAAGAAAAGGTCCACCAGTATGTTTGTAATCACTTAGCTTTTTAGTAATTATATGGAATTAATTGCATTTGCACAAAGTTTGGTTATATTTTATTGAAGGCTCTTCAATAGATTTGCCTCCCCAATACCCAAAATTGGTACCCAAATGTACAGATACCTCTTGTGAAAACATGCATTATTTTAATTAATTGCTATGACAACACCATGAGTGAAGTGCAGCTATCTCCATTTTGCATATGAGTGAACTGAGATCTTGAGGTATAATCATCTGCCCATAGTCACCTGGGGAGTCTCTGGAGGGATGGGACACACACCTGCATCTTTCTCCAAAGCCAGCCTTCTAATTACTGTCTCCTTCGCCTCGCCTCAACTGAGGTTGTTGTGAAGAACAATACTGAGGCTGTGGAATTGACATTAGCATCCTGGTTCTCTGTATCCAGCTAATGTTTACCTTCCTCTCTGACACACTTGTCTCCCTTGGTGTCCCAGCTGGCCCACAGTTTCTTAAAGTCAACCCCACCATTCTGCCCTAGGTGACACTAGGCGGAAGAGGAAACTGAGAAAAATTCATACTGGACAGTGAATGCAATCTTCACTTAGAAGTGCATGTGCTGGTATCTTACCAGATGGTGCTGGACTTGCCTTGCGAGTTTTTGACAGCCATTGACCTGCTGCATGCCACTGCTCCCGGTGTCCAACTCAGGAATCAACAGAAGAGAACCACTGGGACATAACTGCTTAATCCCTTCCTAATCTCTGAATTCTCATAAGTCCTTTAACTCTTCAAATATTGGACTATAACAACTTGGTTCGCAGAAACATTATGGTCATAGGAGGCCCAGGTACTGAGCTATGAAAATCAAAAAGACTGCCAGGGGATTGAGACCTTGAAGCTAGTTTGAATACAACTAGGGAGAAAGAGAAGCAAACTCCTATTTACAAAATTATTATTTTTGTTTAGCAAGATATATAGAATCAATTTTGCACAGAAAATTGTATAAGCAACAAACCTCTCAGTAGGGCCCTTTAAAAGTAATTTAATATTTTTAATAAGGCAAATCTTTCTGATTCTCAACTATTTAGCCATGAAATTTTAAAATCCAATGGAAGTCTGACTTCAATAAATGCTGCTTTACAAATTTTATTGTCCATGTAACAATCTAAGAATACTAACATTCTTTAGACACTTAAATTGAATCATAATGACAAATGCTGAGCTTTTGAAACTCCCTTTTACATAATTGAGTATAATTTGGTGCCTTTAAAGCATGGGCTTGCTTTTCTAATATGCTGTCTTTCAAAATTGTAAATAAGGTCAATGTAGGCAGTAGCCTGCAAATTTCTAAGCAAATGTGTCTTATCCCCAAGCAATCATTTAGAAATATCAAGCACAATATATTGTGCGTCAAATAAGAACACTTGAGAGGTTTTGCATTTCAGTTATTAACCATTCTTCAAATGATTTGGGAGAGAGTTAGCCCCAACATGAATTGGTGACACCATTGCACCAGGAGACATAACAAAGCCAGTCTCTGACAATGGGACAGGAGTGGGGAGCACTTTTCCTTGCTTTGGAATTTCTCTCTCTCTTAAGGGCAGTAGACAGCACATTGGTTCAGGGCTCTGAACTATATTCACAAGCCATGTTGCCTCTCCAACTCATATTGTCCTTACCTCAATAAGGTAAGGACAGCCATAATACCAAGAGGATTTAAGGCAACATAATATATAAAAGTGTTTGCAAACCACAACTCCATCTCTTTCAAGTAAGGCAGTACTAACATCTTTGTAGCTGTTTCTCTATATACCTGTCTATATGACCTGACCTTGGCCTTGTTGCCAGCAGAATCTCACTCACTATTTAAAGTTACCCTTTTCCTTTGCCATAGACTGGTCGTAAAATGTTTCCAGGATCCCTGAGAGTCACAGAAATATGTGAATGAACCAACACAACACCACTCTGCTGCTAGAAAAGCAAATTTGGCTTTAATGTGTCTACTGACAGGTAATCTCGGTCATCTATCTGAAATTGCAACCCATGCACACACTTCCTGTTTCTCTCCACAGCTATATTTTTCTCCACGACAAGTTCACCATCACACATACACTTTATTTTAATTTATTTGTCTTCTTTTCTATGTCCTCCATTAGACTGTAAGCTCTTCTTGGGCAGGGGATATTTGTTTCATTCAATGTCTTTTAGCTTGCAACAAGAACAACATTTGATGTATGGAAAAATGAATGAATGATGACCAGCTTGTGGTCATTATAAAAACGCTTATATATCTGCAGCTAGAGAAAACCTGGGAACTATTGGGAATGATTCATTATAAGGCTTATGTTACTTTTAATGTTTCACTTCTGATATGACAAAGCCCATAGAACAGTTTGCTCATTTTGGGTGTTTTACACTACTGGCCTCATCAGCAGTTTCTTAGTCAAGTCGCTTTTGTCTGTTTAGTTCTTCTTTCTGTGAAGAGAGAGTACAGCTCATGCTTTGCATGCTAATCTAGATTTATATTAAAACATAAAGCCATAAACATAAAACATAAGCCATAAAGAGAGAGTTTGCCCTTCTCCCATCATAGCTTAAGTGAAAATTCCAAATCCACTTTCCTGAGCAGTTACCCACTATTTAATGTTCATAAACTCCCATTGTATACTCAATGGCAAGAAATCAAAGCATGATTATAAGTGGTATTAATAATAAACAGGCTTTTCTTCCCCATCCTCTGCTCCCACGGCACTTGGGAGAAGTTTCAAATTATCCTGTGGTAGATTGGAAAGAAGGAGTTGTCTTAGAAGTCATGGCCCAACGGCTAGTGATGCTGTTTCTATATTTAACACCTTGGGAATCACTACGTATTTAGAAAACTCTAGCTTTGTTCATTAGTTGCAACTGGAGAAGAAGAGCCTGAGAGGATCTTTAAAGAGAACAAACCAGCGAACAAAGAACTGGAAAAAAAAAAATCCAAAAACAATCCAACAAAAAACAGAATAGATTTGCTTTCATAAATCTTCAAGAGAGACTTTCCTCTCCTGTTATACAATCACAGAGTTAGCAGAGTTTTACAATACAGAAAAGAGGACACTTTTTTCTGTATTTAATTCTCTCAGATGCTGAGGCAGAAGGATCACCTGAGTCCAGGAGTTTGAGGCTGCAGCGAGCCATGAGTATGCTGCTGCATTTCAGCCTGGGCCACAGAGTGAGACTCCTACTCAAAAACAAACAAACAAACAAACACATAAACAATTCCCTCAGGTCTCTGGACTCCTTGAGTTTGAAAAAACTTCACTTCATAGGATTTTCCTAAATAAAACTCTGCACTTTGTATAGGAAGAAATACAGAATATGATTCTACTTCCATGTCTAGAGCTAGTGCAAACACTTATTTGTTAAACACTTTTGAAAAGAATGTGAAATGATGCAGATGAAAGTGGCAAAGGGTCTTGATCTTAATGTCTTCCTTTTCGATCTCTGATTTTGCCGCTTTCTTTCTGATCTTCACTTGGACATTTTGTACTAAGTCACATGACTGGCTATCAGTAAATTAGAGACACAAAAGACTTTAATTTTATCTTGTCTATTTCCAGAGAGAAAGAGTCAATATAGATGGAGAAAAATGTCATGTTTCAAGATATTTGCTTCTTCTAGTTAGTCGAATTCCATCTCCAAAATGTGCATATATGTAACTAATACATTGATTTTTAATTTTACCATGGACATCCTTTGGTGCTTTGCCATAGACCAAGTAGTCACAGGAGGAAAACTCAGCTCAGACAGGGCCGTTTTAATTTATAACATGAGAAATGCACTCACCGGCACTGACAGTGATAGCTTCAATGAACTGTTCTCGCCAGCTGTTTGTCCCAACCACAAGGGCCAGGTTTGTCTTCTTAATGAGTTTGTCCACCGTACTCTAGAAAAGGTTGAAAAGAATAATATAATAACTGCTGGGTTTGTTAAGGCCTCAGGAAATCTAAGACCTTGTTGATTTTGAAACCCCAGAGTTATATAAAGGGTAGCAGATGTTAGGCTCAGAACAACAGTATCGACATCAAACACTGTTATGATTATGCAAACAAGCATGGTTCTTAGTTGGAAACATTCTGAAATGGAAACTTCTTTTGTAGCAAATACAAGTCTCCTTCACTGACTAATGGCCAATGAAGAATAGCCTCAGTGTTTAGAATAACAGATGTTGCAAAAACCCATCCATTCCCTTGAATACTTTGCTAACTTGCTTCACTATTGGCTTCATCTAGAATGCACTGTCTGCGAGTGAATTAATATATGCCCTGTTCAGCACTACATATCCGTGAATAGTTGGAAGTGACAGATTATGAAACCAAAAACCATCATTGTTTTTTGTTTATCAATAAAATGGTGGCAGATAGTAGAGTCCCAAGGTTGCTGGCTGCATGATCATCAATATAATTGGGTATTAGTTTGGTCAGCCTCCTGCCTGTTGGAGAATTCTATTCACCCTACTTTTGTTGCAAACAAAAAACACATAAGACAAGACAAGAAAAAGTCAATTCTTACACTTTAGAGCACATGGCAATTGACCTTACCCTGAATTTTTCCTGCTTTACTGGCATTGAACTGCATACCCCTTATTCTTCTTTGGGACTTCTTAGCACTTTGCATTGTATAATTATCATTCTCTACCTTTCTAAATTCAGTTACTATGACAAGAGCAGTCAAACAACAAGAAAACTAAATAAGCTGATGCACTCAAAGCACTACCACAAATCATGTCAACTACAGGAAGAAGGGTCACTTTCAAGACACTGAGGTTGCCCTTTCCAGAGAAGCTACCACATCGACTAGTCTACCAACATGCACACTTACTGTCAGAGCATCCTCGAATTTCCACTCATTGCAAAGAGGCAAAAAACACGTATTATTTGCCTCAGATGAAAATCTATACCCGTTTTATGCTGTGTCCCTGAATTGATATGGTTTGAGAGAGAGGACATTATCAGCTAACTGGGAGTAAGGGGAATGCACTCGGAGGGACCTGCGTGAAAGGCCAAACCCAAATCCTAATGTAAGTATGTTAGCTCAAGAAGAGTCATTGGAACTGACTTGAAGCATTAGGAAGTTAATACACATGAAAGGGCCCATCTCCAACTGGCTCACTCTGTATTTGCATCATTGTTCTTGGCTGGATTGTATGTCCTTTGGGTGGTGACCTTTCAGCTTCTAGCCTTGCGTCTAGATAGTGTGAGTGAGAAGAAATGTTGGTGCCCCTGAACACAGCTGTAACCATCACTGCTCTTGGCCACCATAACTTGAAGCACATGACAAGCATCTATCTGTCTTTCTTCTCTCAGCTAAGCCACATCTCATCAAGCACTCTGATCATCTTGACTGGTACATATTCAAAGTGCTATATAGAATGTAACAAGAGATGACCTCAGTTTTTCCTAAAGTAATGAAAATTTGGAACAGCTCTCTCCAAAGAGGGGCTTGTGCTGAATCCAGAGCAGAGAATCCCATCCCCTGGGAGATAAACCCAGTTAAACTTCTCTAACAGGTGAACACAGGCTTTGCTCAAGAAATATCTGCTAAGGAAAAAAAAAAAAGTAAGATAAACTAAATATTTATATATATGTAAAACCCAGGGTAGATTTTAAACTTTAGTTCATGTTAAACCTGGGGAATCTATGGTTCATCCTAGTGCATAATTTGTATATGTACCCTTCCTTGACCTCTGGGAGAAAAGGGAGTGACTAAAGATGGAGCTGAAGTTAAAACACCTGGACTCAGACATTCCTGTCTGTATTTACCCTTGGGCAGTTGCTAAATGACTGCAGTCAACTCTTATTGCACTAGACTTTCAAGAAAAAGTAAAAACCTCACCCTAATGGGTATTAGTGAAGCCATGCCCCCCATCACAACATTGTAAGCAAGAACTCAGTGGGCAAAGCAGAGTGGGATACTGTGAGGTGTCACCCAGATTTGAGTCTCTAATATAGTTTTGGGAGCTCTGAACAAGCTTTGTTCTAGAAAAAGGACATTTCTTAAAGAGCATAAAATAAAAGCTGATACTTGAGGGCACTTCAGAAACATGCCCCCACGGTGCCCTTTAGGTGTTAATGGTAACTGTACTGATGGACTTTGAGGAGATGGAAGCTATTCTACAAGGATAAGTACCCAAAACAACTAGACTTAAGTAAGGAGACCCAGGACCCTGCCCTCTCCTTCTATGAGAATGAGCGAAAAGAAGAATTAACTGATAGATTTTCAGTGGCCTGAAGGAAAAAAGTTTAATTGCATTTTTATCTTTTAAAAATTATACTTTAATTGCAAAGACATTTTGCTTTTCACCTGTCTCCTATCAGGCACCTCAATTTGTGAACTAAATTAAAAAATAATGAATGGACCCAGCTAAAGAAAAAATGGGCCATTATTATGAAAGGTCCAGATAAAATCTGAGGTTTCTAAGTTGGTGGCCTGATTCTCCCTTTTGGAATCTTCATTCTGGTTTTGCAAACAGGAGCAGAGTTTGTTTTTGAAAAATAAATGGGGAAACTATTGCTGTGCTCTGGCATTTGTAATTCTGGAAAGCAAGGGAGGGGATGCACCTTTTCACATCCTGCCGTAGAATGGAGGTGTGGGCTTTGCTTCTGGTCTTCTCAGATGTTAGGATAGTGTGAGTGAGAAGAAATGACAGGGGGCAGAGGTAGAAGCTTAGTATCAACAGGAAGTTTCAACTTAAAGTCTACAGCTATATCCTAAGGTCCATCTACTCAACTTCTCCATCTAGAGATGACTTTCTTCATCTAGAGAATTGGGAATCTGATTTTATCAGCTCAACTGTAAACTGTCTGGATGCAGGAATTATATACTTTCAGTATGTTGACTGTGTGCTAAGATGTCCTCAGATCTGAAGAGGATTATTAAATACAAATGAGAGCTCGTTCTACAGGGAGAGATTCTATAGGGAGAGATAACAATACTCCCTCAAAAAAAAAAAAAAGCCTCCTAATTTTCGGCCTGTGAATGCTTTGCCTCTGATAGATGTATTAGCTCAGTTTCTTCCACACATAACCAGTTCAGACTCTACCTTGTTATCCTCTCAGATAACGCCTTCTCTTTGGGGCACCCCTGACATTGTGCAATGATGGATACCTCCTACTGGGCCCCGGTTCTGATGCTGTTTGATTTATAGGACTCCTGGGTTCTATAGGACTCCTGGGTTCCCTACTCTCACTATAATTCCAATTTGGTTCTGAAGGCCTCTCAGTTAATGAGTCAGTTCCTGAAATGATATCTACCTCTGCCTCTAGATGGATCTTACAGTTCAGCCAACACTACGAGCAATTTTGGTCTCCAGGTGGACCTGGCTCCAGTGGGCAGTATTGGTGAGCATACCTTGAATTCGTAGGATTCTTCAATGATCACTTCCAACTTGGTGTGCTCTCCCAGGATGGGGCGCCCCATCTCTGCGATGCGCCTCTCCTCTTCTTCTTTGCTGGACAGCGGCTGTTTGTCATCATATTCCTCTGTGAAAGGGAAGTGCAAGGGAGTGAGCAACGTGCTCTGTGTTATTTGGAAACCCCTGAATCCTGCCACAGAAAAACCAAGAAGGAAGGAAGCCCTGATGACCTGTGAAAAGTCCCCTGCATGTGTTCATGACGCTGGAGGGAATGATTGGACAGATGCTTGGTGTGTCAGGGAACATATTGCTGTGACAGCAGGTGATTATATTTTCCTATAGTCTAATCCCATGCAGAAGTGTCATTGAGGCAAACTAATGCCTAGGGACATATCACCAAGAAAGACTCTGCTTGCATGTTGACTATGTCCCAGTTGTTCCCTGTGATGATAGCTCAGTTGGCTTTTGTACACATTCCTTCAGCATGTGACCAAAGGGAAACACAATTTAAAGTACTAGATTGGGCCAGGCTCGGTGGCTCAGCCAGTAATCCCAGTACTTTGGGAGCCCTAGGTGAGTGGATTATCTGAGTCCATGGGTTTGCGACCAGCTTGGGCAACTTGATGAGACCTCGTCTCTACAATAAAAATAAAAAAAATTAGCCGAGCATGGTAGAGCATGCCTGTAGTTCTGGCTACTTGGAAGCTTGAGGCAGAAGGATCACCAGAGCCCAGCAGGTCGATGCTGGGGTGGCCGTTGAGTGTGCCACTGCACTCCAGCCTGGGCAACAGAGAATGACTTCAACACACACACATACACACACAAAATAAATAAAAGTTCTAGATTGACTCTAAGGGATAGAAGAGTCTAGCCTCCTCTCCTCTACTTTCTATAGGCAACAGAAACTGCCCTGGGCCCAAAGAGGTGGAGAATAGGAAATACTGATCTTAGTCTTTCACTTTCCTTGTTGCAAGTTAAACAACAAAACATCTACCCCATGTTTCTGTAAGATGTCTGGGCTCTAGTGATTCTTCTCTCTGGTACACAGCTGAAATGTGTCAGGAAAACCTTGACCGTGTTAATCTTAAAGTAAACAAGGAGGGTGAGGATGAGGCCTTTGGGGAGTTAACACTCACTCACCATGTGAGCATGATTATTTCCAGAACCACTATGTAGCTTATGCTCCAGGAGAGGCTAGTGGGTGCTGAGAAAATGTTAATGGATCCAAGAGCCTATTAATGAGGGGAAGCTCACAGTTGGCATTCTCTGTGTGAAGGTCATTAGGATAAATCCTGGACTGAAAAGGCCACACACATAAGAAGGACAAACACCAGGCCTATAATTACCCTTATCCTTCAGGCCCAGGATGTTGGACCCACACAGGCTACTTCCTTTCAGAGTCAACTGGATGAACATTGTCTCCAAGGAAACAATATCAGTGATGTGGAAAGAACTCAGCCCAGATGCTCCCACCTCTAAGACTTCGGGACATAGTGTCTATAAGAGAAGTCTGTTGACTAAGAAGACATCTGAAAAGAAGGGCTTTCTTGCCCAGGCTTCCTGCCTTTTGCATTTAGACATCAGCTTCTGCAGAAGTCCACACCTCCCAATCTCTCCCAAGACCCATGGCTTCCTTCTTGTGGAGGAACCGTGGTGTGGAGCTCCATTTATTGCATTAACAACTATTACACAGAATTGTTCCTAGGTCAATTTCTTCCTGCAAGGGCAGAGGACAGATGGGCTAGATGAACTGCCAGCATTTTATATATCAAGTGTCAAAACCAACAAATGACAGAAGCAGAATGTATTGTATTGATTAATTATTTAGTATGTATTTAATAGTGTTCTAGTTGTGGTCTCCAAAATGTGTCCTTGCAAAAGTATGTGTGTCTAGTCAAGGGAGTTGGCTAAAATACATGAAGTCCAATTAATCTAGCATTCAAATTAACCATATTTTGATCATCACTGCTCTCTAATCCTTGAATTCAGGATAATGTTATTGGCAGTTTTCATAGCAGCAGGTTATATTAGTGTCTTTATTCACAACCTTGGCTGAACATAGGTGTCTTGAAGATTTATGTCAAGCAAGAATTATTTTCCCAGAAGAAAAAAATTTCACAACTTTGATATCTATTATATTTGAATTGTAAAGTTGTGGGGGAGAATATTAATTATGGCCTTCTTTTCTGTAGTTTACTCAAAAATGACAAGTTGCTTTTAATGAGACTCAAGGCAATTCAGAGAGAAAAAGATTGAAAAATTATGAAAGAAAGGTGATGTGGTAGCATTTTTTAGTGCAGCATTTCACAAAATGAAATTAGTTTGGATCATGGTATTAAACAAGGGGATAGGGTAGTAAATGAAATCAAATCATACAGTCAGTGAAAAGTTTCTTTCTTTTCTTTTTTTTTTTGAGTTGGAATCTCACTCCATCGCCCAGGCTGGAGGGCAGTGGTACACTCACAGCCACCTTAGCATCGACAGCTGGGCTCCAGCGATCCTTCCCCCTCAGCCTTCCAAGTAGCCGGAACTACAGGTGCGCACTGCCATGCCTAGCTAATTTTTGATTTATTGTAGAGAAGAGCTCTCGCCAAGTTGCCTGGGCTGGTCTTGAACCCGCAGGCTCAGGCAATCCACTTGTCTTGCCTCCCAAAATTCTGGGATTATAGGCTAAGCCTAGCCAATTTTTTCTTTTTCAATAATCCTTCAGCCCTTCTGGTGAGGATAATATGCTTAGTTTGGTGCTGTTAGGTCTGTTACTAGTTTCCAATATTTGGATTTCTACCATTTTAAGACAGAGAAAATAGTTATCAGGCAGAGAGCATTGGATGGTATCCAGATAGCATATAATAGTATTTTTTTCACTGTAAAATTTTTAAAATTTTACTTTCTATTTATGATAAATGATATTAGTTTTCCTTGTGTTCATGACTTAAAGTTTTCTTTTAAAAACAAATTCAATGAAGTAAAAATAGAAGGCAGTTTTAAAATATTACAATAAGTAAATAATGGTATAGTTGGTATGCAACCAAAGCAAAAATTGTAAATGAAGTATGAGAATGACAAAAATTAAGGGAATATTGTCTTAACTGATTCCATACTAACCTAAAAAAAAAAGTAAGGTAACTTGTGTCTATCACTTGCTACATTCTTGCTCCAAATGGACTTGAATTTCTTTTTTTTCTTTCTTTCTTTCTTTTTTTTTTTTTGTTGAGTTGGAGTCTCACTCTGTCTCCCAGACTGGAGTGCAGTGGCCGCTTCCGGCCTGCAGCCCCGACCTGCTGGGCTCTGGCAATCCTTCCACCTCAGCCTTCCAAGTAGCTGGAACTACAGGCGCACGGTACCACGTCTGGCTAATTTTTGATTTATGGTAGAGATGAGGTCTCACCAAGTTGCCCAGGCAGGTCTCGAACCCGCGGGGGCAGGCAATCCACTCACCTCAGCCTCCCAAAGCATGGGATTACAGGTTGAGCCACCAAGCCCAGCTGGACTTGAATTTCTTAATAGATCAATGATCCCATTATCTATCCCCTGGAAAACCTTGGCTGTCACTATGTAGTGAAATTTTACTTATCTTTCAAAACTCCACTTCTCCTTGCATGAAATATCTCCCTACTGATGACTGAGAATTTAGGAACTACCACTCGAATCTTAAATTAATTCCTCAATATTCATTGTGTATCTTGAACATGGATTCTCACATACTGTTTTCTAAAATTTTAAAATTACCTTTATATACTAATATCCTGCATGAAAATTTGCTGAGATAGAACAATGCATCTCACACTCTTGCCTATTAAAAGGTATGGAATGTAGTAGGTGTTCAATGAATATTTATTGTGTGACTCTCCGATTCACTGTTAATAAAACCTCTTATTTTCTCTATCCATAAAAAAGGATCATTTGCTCTCTTAGCACGTGTCATTATATTCCTACATGTCAGCACAGCCATAGGCCTTCCCTGCCCTTTTCACCTTCCAGGAACTCATGGCCCAATGGGAAGAGAGGGATATAGATGAACAGCTTCGAGGAGGGCATGGTAAAGACTGAGGAACTGGAGGAAGGGGTGGGATGGGGGCAGTTCACTCTGCCTGAAGGAATCAGGGAAGGCTTTAGCAAATAGGAGCTTTCTGAAATTTGCCTGGAAGCACCCATGGAGGCTTGCTTACCTTCACTCAGTGAAGGTAATGGTTAGGGTAGCTAAAAGGTGGTAGGTGAATGAGGTGGATTCCGGGTAGAAAGAAGGAAAAGTACAACTACCCAGGGTCATGGAAGGATCAGGGCTACTTTTACTTAATAAGTATCATGAACTGATATTTATATGTAACTGAGAGGTGCCATCTGGACTGATCCTATTATTGCTTTACATTGATCCTGATAAAGTATCATTTATGGTCTAGATTGCAGACACTGGCAAAAAGTGAGAGCTAAGTCTACTGTTTCAAAAAGTATCTTCTCTTTAGATACATGTTATTGAATAGGAAAAATAGTTTTAACAGCATTTCACAATTTTGGTTATCTATTATGTTTGCTTCCTTTTTATTTTGAGCACTGGATCAAAAACAGATTATTTTGCTATGGTCAAGGTCAGTTTCATTTATTTATTATTGCAGAGTAATAACATGCTGTGGTTTTAGTTCTGTTTCTCAGATGGAAAATATATTCTATTTCTCTTTGTGCATGTACAGTACATTTTAAAAACTCATCATATCTTATTGCGTAACTGGGAATAAATTACATAACATCATAATCTCGACCAACCAAACAACTTAAAGATCAAATGCATAATTAACTGCCACTGCTAAAATCAACATTGACAGGACATAGCAGAATCTTGTGATAAAATCAGTGGGGGATCTCCCTTCTCCTGAGTATTTAATTTTTACAGACAACGACAAATGAAGCTAATAGGTACCTGGAATTGGGGAAGAGTGGAATTTTGAAAAAGCTGTTTCTAATGCTTTCTGATTCAAGCTGCATTTTGAAGTAGCATCACTTTAAGAGATGAAGGGCTGAGAGTGGGACTCCCTACTAGAAAATAGTACAACCCACAAAACTCATCTCAATATCAAGATCTGTACTTGAGGAACTGCTGTTGATATCCTTTAATGCAGTCACAATCTTTAATCATAACCGTATGGAATCTGGAAAAAAGGGTACAAGGCCAGTAGTGGGACAATTTGCTCAAGATTATTTTGATCCTTCGCTCAGAGCCATGCTGACAAGTCTAAAAGCAGAGGTCTCTCCCAACAGTTTTTAGCACCTTGGCTGGCCTGATTGGAGCCTAAGGAGACTAGTACTTTTATTTCCATGAAGAATATTCTGGAACGACCCTGTAGTCCGGGCTGGGTATCATGATTATCGAGTAGGAGTGTGGGATGTGAGGACAAGGAAACTTCTACTGAGTCAGGTAGACATGTTTCTACTGCCATGGCCAGCGATGGGAGACAGTGATGTTGAATGAGTAAAGATTCCTGTCCTTGTGCAGAGATTTAGTGCAAGTTATGATATCCAGGCTCTAAGCCTACAGTAGATCTGAAATAGTTGTGTAATCCTTTAGTCATCCTGTCAATGTTCCTTTATTTCCCACAGATGTACTAACATCTGTGCATATCTGGTGAACATCATGTTGCCTGGAGGCAGAAAAGACAGGCTCTGGGAAGACATACAGTCCAGCTTTTACAGAAACTTCATTATGCAGGAGAGGGGAGGGGGACAAGGAAACTTCTACTGAGTCAGGTAGACATGTTTCTACTGCCATGGCCAGTGCTGGGCAACAGTGATGATTAAAGAGTAAAGATTTATGAGGGGGGACTCCAAAACGCTGGAATTTATTTATTAAAAATTGTGTATTTTTTTAATACGTTTAAACTGCAGTCACCTTCAAAGTACTCTCCATTTGATGCAATACATCTATTGAGATGCTCTTTCTACTGCTCAAAGCAGTGTTTGAACTCGTCCATTTTGATGCCTTTTGGTACTGCTGCTGTTTTTTGTTTTACCTCTTCCACACTGGCAAAACATTTCCCTTTGAGGACATTTTCATCCAAAAAAAGTCACTAAGGGTGGGATTGGGTGAATAGGGAGTGTGGGGCACGGGGTCATGATGCTTTTGGCCGAAAACTGATGAACCCTCAGTATGGCATGGGCAGGCGCAGTGCCATGGTGGAAGAATCAGTCGCCTACTTGCCACAAATAATTCACTGAATCTGAATGCAGCCTCTCACAACAACGCTAGCTGGTACACTGATGGGTTTGAGAACACTTACGTATCAGGGGACAAAAAAAAAAGACAATTCCGTTTTTTGGGGAGACCCCTTCGTATACTTAGGATGAAAAATTCATGTTGAGAAGAGATATTTGCAAGAAATTTGAAATATACTGAAACATGAGAGGGGGCGGCCATCAGACCAGTCTTTTTGGCAGGCCTTCGTTGCTCCCTCCACAATGCCTGCTGTTCTGTTCTTACGTGGTTGTGTTTTGCTGTGATCCAGTGCACCCCCACCTGCCAGGGAAGCCACAGCATTATTTAGCTAGGTCTTAGAAGGGACAAGGATTAAAATGTATGAGTTTAATGTCTCTAAGATCTAAAGAACACTTGGAGGCTGTGGTTTTCCAGGACCATGATGAAATGAGTACCTGCAATGGTGATTACAGTAGAGGGAATCGGATGTTCTCTAGCATGAACTTTCCTGAAGACACGTTGGCCTAGCAAAAGGACAGGTAGAAGATCAGCAGAATGGATCACATTGGCTTGCTATCGGAGCTCTGTGGAATTAGTAAACTAAACATCACACCCCAATGCACACATCACAAGCAATGTTAGTTTGGGGATTGAGTGGTCATAGGTTGGCCCTCATGTAGGTTGCAGAAGGGAGTTCTGGTGGAGGTCACTGATGAAGGTAACTGCCTGGAGATGGGGCAAGTGTTTCATGAGCCAAACCAGACGATGTTAATGCACCACACTACCACATACCCCTTAATGTCTCAAATGGTTCTTCCAATTACTGCCTTCCAAAGGCATCATGGAACAACAAGAACACTTGGTGTAGTGACAGTGTCCTGGTTTTGAAGCCTATTGGTGCCAACAATATATCTTTGAGTAGGCTGTTTCTCCAGTTTTTCCACATGTAAAATGGGAATAAGGGTACCTGTTCTATGTCATAGGTTTGTTTGAGGGTCAAGTAACATAACATCTGAGAACATGCTTACTACATTTACTTCCTGGGTAGTGAATGTCATATACACTTGCAGGTAAGGGTAAGTCATCACAGCAACTGTTTGGGTTAACCAGGCCTAGGGCTTTCATTGAACTCCTGGTTCAGTTAATTTCCAGATTTACCTGCTGTTTGCTTCTACTGAGAGCTATCCACAACTGACCTGGCTATCAGGAGACTTGGCACTCAGAGCCACCTCTGCCATATGCTTGTGTCTAAACTTGGGCAAGGTGTTTCTCCTCCCTGAGTCTCAGTTTTCTCAACTGTAAAGTTAAGCTGACCTTGAAGTTTTCTTCCTCTAGCCTATGTAAAGGAGTAACAAAAATGTTTCCAGCTGTCAGAATTTTCCTAATGTGGCTTCCTTAAAAAGTCATGTGCCTTATTAAGTCTATTATGTGATGAAAAGCATACGATTGGAGGAGTAATATTAAATAGGTATACTGACTGCTATATAATTTTAATTCATTAAAAAACTCTATAGCTGCATATCCTAGAAGTTTGGGGGATCAAACATATTGTTTTCTCTCTCTATTGACCTAGAATATTTAATTTATTAAAATATTCATATTTATATGCTCTAGTTTCCCTCCTTTGGGGTCTTCCTTGTTTTTCATTTGGGTAGAATTCCAAATAATGGCATTTATCAGGTATATCCAGGTTTTAGATTGAAAGGGGGGTTCAGTGTGTAATTTCAAGATACAGGTAGAAATACAGGAGTTGGAGGAGAGGAAAAAGAACGTCTGGGTTAGAACAGTTATCACATGACCTTTGACTTAAAGTCAGAGGGCCTGGCTCTGAGTCCTTGAATGGGGGATGTGGGGTAGACGTTAATTTCTTTGAACCTTCATTTCTTCTTATATAAGTGAGAAAAATAATCTTTTACTCTATAAGGTTGGTGATAAAATGATATAAAGAATAAGAAACCCTTTACAAACTCTAATGAGCTATAATGTATAGGATGTAATCATGTCATAGAACTGGAAGGTCAAGGGGGAATGAGATCATAATTCCAAACAAAGGCCTTTCAATGAGGCAAGGTCTAGGGACAATAGGTAAAGATTTGCAAATTCTGAAAGCACTTCCAGCACTTAATGTCCACCACTAATGAGATCTCTGAAATATTGGTATTAGCCTACGGACCAAATGACTTTTTCAATTTCCATATATCCTGCTTCAAATTTAGGTTTTTCACACTCAGCTGCACAAGTCCATGTGAAAGCTGCGGGCAGAGACCAAGGGCTGGATTAATTCTTCTTACTGCCGCTGCATTTCAAAGTCTTGACTTCAAAGCCTCCAATTGACTTCAAAGAAAAACTCTTTAGGGCTTTAAGCTGCTTTTCACTGTGTAGACCTAAGTGAAATTATCCTCAGGGGCATCAGCAGAGAATGAATTCTGGGTATTCTGGCCTGATTTAGAAGAAGTGTCATGTAAAGTGAGACAATTTCTAGGAAAGTAGGAATGGACAGACCAATGTAGAAATTCCCAGACAGCTCTGGAACATTTTCTTGTTCTAACCACATCAATTGAAAATCTTGGGTAGAGGTGGTAGCAATAGAACAATTGCTATTTCAGATTAAAATTTCAGTGGGAAGGAAGAACTTAATAAATTACATGAAATAATATATAACCTTGGGAGGAAGTGATTCTGGCATCTGGATACAAGATGTGGCCAAGGCAGAAAATGTTGGACATTATTAGACGGATGTTATAGAACTTAAAATGAAAAAATTCGGTGAAAATAAAACTAGAATCCCATTACTTAAGATACTAAAAGGGAAGACAGTACAAGTGATATAGAAAGTTCAAAAAACAAAGCTGATATATTCGATTAAAAAAATAGGAATTCCTAACAATGGCATTTATGAGATATATCTGGGTTTTGGATTAAAATGGGGTTCGGTGCATTTTAAGAAGGCATTCTACAGCTAAAGATTTTTTCTTTTTTTAGGTGAGAAAGCAGAATTTATTGAGAGGACAGAAAGGCTCCCACAGTGGGAGGGGACCCGAAGAGGTTGTCCCTAAAGAGTTTTAATTAAGGTCTCATGATCAGGCCGCAAGGGACTAAAGGTGCTGTGATAGGTCATACTATTTCTACCCCAGTTGACATTAAAAATATATAGCTATTTCCACGTAGTCATGATGTCTGGCTTGCCAAATTTCTACCATCCTCAAGGATAACTAACTTGTCACTGGGTGACAGGAACAAGAAGACTTCAAAGAGTTAAAATAATGAGATGAGAAAAATAAGACACAAGTTTTTGAAAATAAATGTAAAATTCCTGCACTTGGATTAAAAAATCGTGTGGTGCAGAATTGGGGAGTTCTAACGTGAAAGAACTTCAGATGCATCAGATTTAAGAAGTCCAGTACATGTAAGGACTCGTCCTGTTTAACATTCTTATCCGTTTCAATTTCTGTGTTTCTGAGAGTCTATGAATCATTCTGTCATTAAATGCTTTGTCTAGAGAGAAGCAGTGAAGAACAACAGACTGTGTGAAACTGCCTGTATTTAGAAAATTCCACTTCGGACAGAATCACGTTGGAACTACTTGCCCATGGGTCTATGCTAACAGTGAATTTAGTTAATACCAACTCCTGACATATAATATTCATTATTAGAAATTTTAGAAATATTTCTTTCTAAATATTTTTGTCCAGGTTTCTGATATCAAAATTTTGACATCCACACAATGTATTAGAAAATTTTGATATTTGTACAATATATTGAAAATGCCATGTTGTGATACAGGATGTAGGCCAATAGCGACATCTTTAACCTGTAGTATCAGACAAGTCAGACCTACTGTCTGATACACAATTGATCAGTGCTGAGATCTCGATGTCAATTGCTTATAAATAAACACAACACACATAAGCTGTTAATTTGTAAAATGTTAAATGTGCAAAATCAACAAGAGCACACCATTTGCCACAGTTAAATATTAATGTAGGTTCCATAAAATGGGGGTTTGGTTTGATTTTTAAGGGTATTTAGGGAAAAACAAGGAAGATTTAAAAAAAAAAACTCTTACCATACAGGTATTTTCCTTCATTAAATGCAAATAAAAATGAGAAATAATTTCTTTAAAAATGTAATAACATATAGTAAGAACAGATAGTAAAAAATAAAACTAGATAGCATTAAACTTTAAAAATTCATACCTGTTATTGTGAAGCCACCTAAAAAAGAAAAAAAAAACCAAGTGTTACAATTTAATTTACACTCTAAATAACAAATATCAGTGACATCAGACTGCTTGACAACCCATCCAAGGTACAAAATCATGCCAAGTTATGCTTACAATTAAGAGAATAGGAAAACATCCATTTATGACTGAATCATTGATCATTCTTTTAAGATTATGGGATTTGGAGCACAAACTTATTTATTTTGTGCATACCTAAGAAATCACTGACATTTTTTAAAGGTTGTACTAAATTAAATATGTAATATAAACTATTTGACCTTAGCAGAAATGAGGCCAATGGCCCTAAAAAAACAATCTTACTGGCAAATCAATAGAAATAAAATAGCGCTACTATATCACCTGACAGAAATGGAAAATATCCTAGAAAAAATGGAAAGGTAATGCAAGAAATGAAATGCTTACCAAGCTCATTCAATAACAGGGCTGTGAAGGAAACAGACAAAGACAAACACAGAATAAGAGACCAGATGAATAATGAAGGTAAGAGGAATATCAGCAGAAAGAAATCCAGGCAGATCTGATTAGAGTAGTAGGGAGCCACTGCTAAAAATTATGGGAGCACCCAAGGAAACGTGCTGTTGGGAGTATTTCTGAATAAACAAACCCAACTGAAATTTTTGGAAATGTAATTGAAGACACACACACACCTATATACAGTTATGTATATAGGTGTGTGTGTATATTTCACCATATAGATCATTTCTTTACATTTAGTAAGACATTTCTACTATATATGTTTATACATAGTGTATATATCTAGTTTACCAAATATAATAGAAACTTTGTATGAAGTTAATTGATTTGAGTCTTCCTCATTAAAAATTGCCTGGGAGTTAGTCAATCCAACATATGGCAGTTTTAAATCACCAGGATCTCAGGTATCATACCTTTTATTCAACAAGAACAGGTTAAGTATTCTGGGAAATTCCATTTCAGCTGCCCTGTCTAGAAGGGGTCTTGGGTCCCAGTAAAGCTCTTTCTCTGGATGTTATATTGTGGCCACCAAGAATTGTTTCTGTTTTAAAAATCCTCAAAGTTTAATAGTCCCCAAAATTAATGCTTACTTATGTCCTTATCTGTGACTTCCATAGGTTATTAGATTACCAGAATCCATTAGTGGACATATAACTCCATGAAATTGACAGTGCAGGAAGGGTGGAGGTACGTAAATAATTTGTCTTTCGGGTTATGTGATTTAAACCCAGACTATGTCATAGCACCTTATTTTAGTAAAAACAACCTGACTAAATGTTTTAAGTAAATTACTTTATGACTTGTAGGTGGGAAAGTTACAATAACTTTTCGGGCCTAGTTTTCTCTGCAATGATAGTGGCATTAGAGGCTACTTTCTAAAACCAGTCAGTAATTTATTTATAGTGACAAGAATCCACTTGGCGTGTATGAAACTGGACAGTGCTATTAAGAAATTTTAATTTGCAGTTGCATGAGGGCATATTTTACTAAAGCGACAATCTAAGAGCTATATCCAAGATGCTCTTCCTTGAGACAAAAGACAGTTATCTGGAGGAATACATTTAGAAGTAAGTGCTTTTTCTTAGATGTTAATGAGGCATTTTTGACCCCATCTTCATAAGAAATCAGCACCAGTTTTTGTCTTTTTTCCCTTCCATCTACTGCCTATGGAGAATACGAAATGGGTTGCATTAAAATGAGTCTCAAGTGCTCCTTCCTCCTCACTCCAAAGACTCCTTTTGTCATTTTGAACTTGATTAAGTCAGGAACATACACTTTTTAGTTTTCACTCAATGGACTCTGAAGCCAATGAGTGCTTACAAATGTGGGATTAAATTTCTCCAACTGTTGGGTCTGTATAGAAATTTGTTCTCTATATCTTATTTTTTCCCTTTACATATAAAAATGTAAATTTCTTACAAAGTGATTCTCATCATCTCCTACACTGCTCTCATCGATTGTTTTATGCTATTAATAAAAGCTATTAATATGTGGTATACTCTTTTTACTTAATAATGACATCAACAGGATCTTTTTTAAAATGGCCAAAATTAGACAATAACTATAAAACATCCCAGTAAGCATTCAGAATAAAAAATCATCTATAAAGCTGATATAAATTTCTGTTCTTCCTTATTAAACATAGATATGAAATCAAAGATAGGAAAAAAATTGCTTCTTTGTTCAAATATTTCCTAAGGATATAAGTAAAAATCCACAAAATCTAGTTATTGATTTTACTTTTATGTTTCCTTTTTTATTATGCATGTTAAAATTTATTACTTCTATAAGGAACCAAAGATTCTGACATGTAAGACTGGATAGGCCTTTCGCAAGAGTTGGGTTCTTACTGAACAACCTTATCCTTCTGACTAATGAAAACTGATATGACTATGGTTTCATATATATAATACCTTGGAAATGTCATATTTGATGATATGAAAAATATCATGCCAAAAATGAGCCTTAGAATATTGATAACACTACTCTTTAAGGGTCTTTGTTGTTCTTCTTGTTTTATTTTTTAACTGGATTCTCTAAAGAAGTTTAATTATTTAATTCTTCTGACGTTTCCTATCTGTTGCCATTAGAGCCATCTACTACTACTAGTAGGTATTCAGTAGTTTTTTTTGTTCCTTCCAGCTTTATTGAGGTATGATTGACAAGGTATTAAGTAGTCTTTATCACTAACGTTTTAGGGTAGGTTTAGCAATGAGAGCAACGTTTAAGAATGAACTGTGAGTAGTGAAAAACTGCACACATTCTTTTGTGTCATCAGTTTCTAATTACAGGAATGTTTTCCAGTATTTTAAAATGTGGTTGTAATCAGGGTTAGTTGGTTATTTCCTGAAGAGAATGGGCACTTGTGAATTAGGGAAGGGAAATGAAACTGCTAAAGCTTCAAAGGCAATGAGGTATAGTACTTGGAAGCCGAGGAAGAGGAGAGAGTTAAGTTGTGAGAGTAGGCGACACGGAGAGAGAAGAGTACAATTTCTCGCTGGTATGTCTTTGTATACTCTCACACCTTTCATTCCTCTTCTTATCCATTTTGGTTCCTCAAGCACAAGGGAGAAACTGCACTCTTTCTCATATTCCTCACGGTCAAATATTCTAATGGTAATGATCTTCCTGTGGGAACACAAGACAAAGGCAAAACAAATGGTTGGAGTCACACGCTCATGCTCTTAGTGTCCACCAAGCTGAATGTTACTGTGATGTTATGGAGGGAAGAACTGGCAGCACATGGACCTCCTGAGGTATGTAAAAGGGCATCTTGGATACTCTCAGCTGGCTCCATCAAGTTTTCTTTGCTAATGGATCACTTTCACAGATTCTTCCTGCTTCGGTGAGCCGTCAATAGGTAACCCAAATCGGGAAGATAAATCAGAAAGGTGGCTTGGTGTCAGCATCACTTAGCATCTGCACCAACTTCCCCAGACAGGGAGAGGTTTGACCAACTACCCTAAAAATTAATCTCCCAGACATTAACGCACAGTGTGGCCAACACTGCCTGATGTGGTCACAGGCGCGCCTATGGTGGCCAGCGAGAGGTCCATGCCCTGTTACATGGGTAGAGGGATGTGTGCGTTGTAAGTCATGTTTTGAAGAGTGCAGGCATCCAGGGGTGGCACAGGCCAGCAGAAGCTGTTGGGCTCAGCCCTGGAGCAGCTACCCCACCTTTCTTCTCACTCATTTCCACCAGGCGGGGCTCTCCAATCTCAAGGAAGAAGGTCTTGTTTTTCTCATACTCCTCATCATCAATTACCTTGACTGATATTGTTTTGCTGAAACAGAGAAGAATAGAAATTGACGAACAAGGGGAAGAGGAAAGAAAAGGAACATAAAGAAGAGGAAAGCAAGGTTAACAAGTTGCACTTCCAGACAGTCATTGAGAAACTTCTGCACTGTGAGATTTTTTTTTTTTCAAGAATGGGTATCAGATAGGTCTGAAAGATTAGAGAGGTCACCCAGTGTATGGCTCCCCTGCCTGGGGTCATGAAATTATTTCGGGCAAAATATAGCACTCGGCACTAATAAGTCTGTCATCATCATAAGAAGGAAAAGCAGAAAAGTACAGAACATCATAATAAGAAGAAAAGAAAAATATATTTATTTAGTAAGTGCCTTAACCGCTGGATTGTCTGAGCTGTGCCCTGCAATTTACTCCTTTAGAACAAATCAATAGATCACATCAAAATCTTAACAGAGGTTATCTCTGAGTAATAGGCTTATGGGTCATATTTTCTCTTCATTGTGCTTTACTATATAGTTCCAAACATAATATTTTATCATAGCATTTTATTAAAATAGTAAAGGCATACAAGCTTCACAGAAGAAAACATAAAGTGTTTTATTGTACCCCACCCAATGTCTTAGAATCAAACTCTTACTCAGGTTAGTCAGATTTTCCAACTAGACCACAACAGGAAGTTGTTCCTGTTTTTTTGCCTTTCTAAAGATGGAAGCTATAGCCTCACAACAGCTGTTCTGAAAGTGGGGTGGCACAGGGCGGGTGGGAGTCATGATGTTGTAGATGTTTTCATCCCATCCGAAGTTGAGTTTTAACTTTTGCTAAATATGCCATTTACACTATTTTCAAACTCCACCAGGACGCCAAGGTGTTTCGATAAAAATTATTCCTGTAATTAACATTTAACAATTTCTGCCCTATGGTCCTAAGGCTGTCAGTGGCTGACAGGCAGGTCGGACAAATGCAAATATTACACAAATCCCCACTTCGCATAAGCATCCTTGATGACTCTGAAAGAAAATCAATCTAATGTTAACTTTTAATTAATAAGGTCTTAAAAGCTTTATATATTACAACTTACTCAGAGCCCCCTAAACATTGATTTGTCTTTGAAAAAAAATTTTTTTTAATGGCATTGGCCAAGAACATTTCTGATTCGACTTTTTTGAAGCAATTTTGAGTCTGTACAGAAGCAATATTTTAATGGTATGGATACTCTAATTTGGGGGGAGTTTTCTAGGTCTTCTGGAAGGAAACTGGTTTGTAATCTTGTTTTTATTTTGCTGATCAAAGCCATCAAGTTTCATAAGACCTATCCATACCAGGAAAGAAGAACACCAGTCTTCTTTCCTAGTATGAAGAAGGCATAGGTAGAACCTGCTTTTAATTCTCTCTGAATTCCTCAGTCCCTGATGCCAAATGCTTAAGTCTTGCTTTCTTGGCTTAGCATTGTGGAAGTGAGACTAAGCGACTGGTTGTGGTCCCCTAGAGCCCCATAATGTACTCTCTGTTCCTCAGCTAAAGAACATTCCTGCCTGATGCTCACATTCCAATGTCTCACTCCTAAGAAGCTGGAGCTCATGAAATGGCCTTTTTTAATCTCAGCTCTGTCCTCACATCCTGAAATACTAGCACTAGATGACCAGCTATATGTGACAAAAGCAGCAATCATTTTTTAAAGAGTAGTTGGATATTTATAAAACTATCAACAGCATGACAAAATCCAGTCACAGGCTAATTGTGAACAATTCCTGCCTAACTCTTACAACTATTTTTGTGGAATTTACCTATTTACTTAGTATAGACATACTTTAGCTTCCCCTGACTAAATTGGGATATTTAATTGTCCATCAATGCCCCCAAATACAAAATATTAGTGAAGGTGCAAGAGGATGGACGTAGGAATGATGATTCTTATACTTTCTATTTCAGAACTGAATTTGATGTTCTAGATTAGGTCAAATTTACTCTACAAAAACATACCAAATGTCTCTCCTCTTTGTCATCAAAGCTTAAGCATTTTAGGTATTGGTTTTCATCTTACAAGTCTTATAGTTGTACATTGCTTCTTAAACAATCAGCTTCATGAGACTGGGAGGAAACTGCTGGTGCTCACTGAAAGTCCTCTGGACTTGATGGCCCAACATCATTATCAAGGCACTTCATTGTAGGTTACACCAAATGGAAGAAACCCCTTCTTCCCATTGTGAGTGAGTCAGGTTGCAATATTCTTGCATGTATTACTTAAAACATTTTATCTTACATTTCACCGTATTGCATTCCCAACCCAACATCTCATTACATATTTTATTGTATTGTAGAATTAAAGAAAAGACTATGAGGATAACAGAAGTAGCCTTGGGGACAAGTGTTTGTGTGTGAAAGGTATACGTTTCATGTCCACAGGGAAACTTATTCACAAATAAACCACTAAGCAACATAATGTTTCTTATCTTTGGTGACTATCATAAATTTTAATCCTCTATTGCTCTAACAGCTTTATTGTCTATACTCTGAGTAGCTGACGAGTGTGAGAAATATAGCTATATGGGCTCACACAATTTGTTAATACAATAAGATGAGCATTTACAATTTATCATTAGTACTCTGATAGAGATATTTTCTATTCACTAGGGTTACAATCTTTAGAAAATACTTAAGCATTTGATAAATGTAATACTGGAAAATCAAAAATGAAGAAAAAGAAAAAAAGTACTTCTGTCGGTGCCTGGCAAAGACATCCAAAATAGATGGGATTTGCATAATGGCATATCATTTCAAAATCATTAGTAATAGAATCAATAATGCCCCTGACAAGAAGAACCATTAAATTATATATTGATTTAGCTCCTCTTGCACAGTGAAGCTATTAATAGGAAACTTGATTATTAAGGGACATTTCAGAGGATCTAAAATGGCAGGATGAAGTCAGTCCTTATGAATTAGCTCTCTAAATCAACAGAGGCAAAAATCAGAAGGCACTGGTAATGTTCACATTTTGCTTCAGAACAGAACTCTCCCTCCCCCAGCAAAAGTAGCAAATAAACCAATGCAATTTTTAAAGAAACACATCTCTGAGAGGCCTTCTTCTCACTTTCCAGATCCTAATGCATGAAAGATACTGTGGCCTCTTCTTCCACCACAGGGGATATTACATGAGGGGATTTGCTTTGGTGAAAGATGCCAGTTATGCTGATTTGATAATCAGAAGAAGTATGCCTCTGTTCCTCACAGTTCTGCAATAGAAATGGAATCTCAAGGTTTGAAGGGACCTTCGGTCTGCCCCATTGTCATACCAATCTCATGTTCACAGGGCTTTTGCGCTGTCCAAAGAACTCCATCTCTCTGAGAACACAGATTCATGTTGGCTGCTCTATTCTGTTCTGTTTTGTTGTCCAATGGGAAGCAGTCAGATAGCTGTTGTTACTACTTTAAATTGATAGGTTAACAAAAACAAGACTGAAACAGTCAGGTAGCACTTAATCCAAATATAATTCTTGCATTATTATTGCACTAATGAGTATCAAATAGAAAAACTGATATGATGCAATTTTCAACCACTATATTTATTATAAAGAAGGTTAGAGAATTCACTAGATTTTTTTTTACATCTCTTTAAATTGGACAGTGTAGTATAAAAATTGTATTTTCTGGAAACTAGCAAAACAGTTACAAATCTTATGATAACATTAAAATATTTCTCAATATGCTCAACATTTTTATGGAAGTACAGTTTGGTTCTATTTCTAAAAAAAAAGAAAAAAATTTTTGGTTAAGAAAGATCAGTTTATTTAGTGGAAAAATACAGATCATTTCTTTGATTTTTGCAGGGCTTTTCACATGATGTTACCAAACTAACATCTATATTTTACTTTCCAGTCTCTCTCTCATCTGATGGGTCTCAAAGGCCTCAAATATCTTCAAACAGACTAGCAAGGAGTCCTTATATCTGGTGGTGACTCAGGCAGACGGTCAGAAGGAAAGAAAGAGGTGGCTTTATTAATAAGGGTTGAAAAAGAAAATCTCTTCAAAACATATTTTAGTCTTCGATTGTTAAAGCCAAAGTGGTATCACCGTCTCTTTTTCAATTTAAGCCTTAATTTGTCCTTCTGTGGTTTCTTTTCCCTAAGATTTCCCTAGATGTTAGAAGAAGATGAGAAAAAGATGGGTTGGAGGATTAGAGAAGAGACTTCTTTTCAAATTTTCATACAAAAGATTTCAGTGAGGATTTCGCATATTATGACTCTTTCTTTCTTTCTTTCTTTCTTTCTTTCTTTCTTTCTTTCTTTCTTTCTTTCTTTCCTTCCTTCCTTCTTTCTTTCAATTTATCCTCTCTTAAGGCATACTTAGAGGGCAATAAAACAGTGGACACTTTGCATTTCTTAATTCACGGATCTTGATAACAACCTTAGAAGTTATTCCTACTACCAGCAATTGACAGAGAAAACAACGACTCTCAGAGAAGTCAGTAACTTCCAAGGTCACAAAGTGAGTCTCCTGTGACTAGTTCCAAGGACCAATACCTTTCAATGATATGACCCATAGTCACCCACCAGGTCCCTTACTCATTCAACTGTGCAGTGTTTTTATGACCACTTTAAAGGATCTAGGTCATTATTTTAAATTAATGTTGAGGTTTATTGTTTCATTTTTATATTAACAAAGAGTGCCTGTATGTATAATTACAGAATTTCAATTCTATTTTGAAATGGCTACCGCACATATTACAGTCCATGATGGCTGACTTCAAAAGTTAAATCCTTGAAGAGTTAACTGGTAAGTACCATGATCACACAGGGGCTCTGAGGATTCAACAGCCAACCAGCAGCCTCAGCCTCACCTGGGGTGGGAGACTTGTTAGAACTGCAGAATCTCAGGCCTCATACAGACCTACAGAGTCAGAATCTGCACTTAAACAAGATTTCCAGATGACTCCTTTGCATGGTGAAGTCTGAAAAATGCCAATCTAGAGTGGGAGTGGATTATTTTTATTAAGTTGGATGACAAATTAAGAGGCAGTTATTTTACACAACA